GACTTTAGAGTAATGATTATAAGGATACTCAACAACATAAAGTATATTGGGTTGGCCAAAAAGTTTGTTTAGTTTTTTTCTGTACAATAAAAGACACATCTTTCATTTTAACCAATAACTAATGATTTGCATATGAGTATGTCAGCTACCTCCCGATATTGGCTTCTACTGGGTAGAGGCCAGGGGTGCTGCCAAACATCCTCTAATACCTAAGACAATCCTACAGCAAAGAATTATTTGGCCAAAATGTCAACAAGACCAAGAAACTTCGCAAACCACTTTTGAAACATCTGGCCAGTCATGGCACTTTCTCCATACACTGCACACACACACACACACACACACACACACACATTTGCATTTCAGTTGCATTTCTACCTTTCTTGAAACAATAAAGCATAATACAGCAAAAATATTGTGTATTTTCTTCCATCTTCAATATCAAAATGGCTAAAGAAAAATTCAATTTTGATTACTTTTTTTTAATGCACACTGTTGGAATGAGAGTTGTCAGAATATGATCTAACAGAATTATTTCAAATGAAGTTAAAAACAACCGAGCACTACTACAACGACCATATAGAAAAAATAAATGGACTTTTTGGTCAACCTAATAGAACAATCCACATCTATAACCAACTGCCGACTTGCTGAACAGAAATCTTATGACCAAAATTTATAGAAGAAGCCACATCAAGACTGGTAAGAAGGGCAGAGATATGAAAAGGGCTGACCCCACTCCCACAGTGGTGCCTGAGGTCCTAGAGGGATATCTCAACTGCAATTCCTATCAAGATACACCAACAGTGTATTTCAGAGAATTAGAAAAATGTTCCAAAAATGTATAAAGAACTGTACACACTTTGAATAGCCACAGCAATCCTGCAACTCTAGTTGCCAATCTGAATTAATCAGTATGGAAGCAAGGACATAACTGTGGAGAGCATCATTTTGTGTAATGGCTTGTCACAGCTGTAGCAAGATCTGGTACAGACATTCATTCAGTCACCTGAATCAGGATGAAACATTCAACAGATCAGTAGCCAGGACTCAAAGCCAGCAGAACCAGTGGTTTGTGACACAGCAAAAGTTTCATTTAGCTAGCCATTCATTTACTAAGTGTTTCATTTCAACTAAGCAATTATGCTTACTGTGTTGCAGGAACTGTGTGAACATAGGTGCATGGGGAGAGAGGAAAGACATTGTAGTTGTCTAGATGAAGTTTCCAATATTGCAGAGAAAACAAATATTGAATGTTCAACTGTAACGTGCATTGGGTATTCTGAAGAAAATATACAGGGTTCTACAGAGGGATAATAGGTTTATTTAATTTGGTAGGAACCTCAAGAAGACTTTCCAGAGTATAGAAAACAGCATTTAGGTTAATACCTATAGTATCATTAGATATTACCCAGGTGAGGCGAAAAATACATTTCAGGTAGAGCTACTGCATATGATATGGTCCTGATGTGGTAACAAACATGAGCATGTTTAAGGATTTAAAATAAAAAGTTTCTGCACAATTAAAGCAAACATTGGCAAAATGAAAAGGGAACCAACCATATTGGAAAATATATTTGTAAATGGTACCTTAGAAAGGGTTTGATCTCCAAAATATATTAAAAAAAACTCACACAACTCCACTACAGAAAGACAAACAACCCAATTTAAAAAATGGGCAAAGGACCTGAGCAGACATTTCTCCAAGGAGAACATACAGAGAGCCCAGAGACAAACGAAAATATTCTCAGCATCACTAGCCATCAGAGAGATGCAAATTAAAAACACAATGAGATACCACTTCACACCAGTCAGAATGGCCATCATAAATCAACCAACAACAAGTTCTGGTGAGATTGTAGAGAAAAGGGAACCCTAGTACACTTTTGAGAATACAGACTGGTGTAGTCACTGTGGAAAACAGTATAGAATTTCCTCAGTAAACTAAAAATGGAACTGCCTTTTGACCTGGCAATTCCATTGCTGGGATTATACCCTAAGAACCCTGAAACACCACTTCAAAAGAACCTATGCACCCCAATGTTCACAGCAGCACAATTTGCAGTAGCCAAGTGTTGGAAGGAACCTAAGTGCCCATGAGTAAATGAGTGGATCAAAAAACTATGGTACATTTACACAATGGCACACTATGCAGGAGAAAGAAAGAAAGAGCTTCTACCCTTTGTGACAGCATGGATGGATTTGGAGAGCATTATGCTAAGTGATATAAGCCAGGCAGTGAAAGACAAGTACAATCTGATCTCACCTATAAGTGGAACCTAATCAACAAGACAAACAAATGAGCAAAATAAAACCAGGGGCATTGAAATAAAGAACAAACTGACAGTGAGCAATGGAGGAGGGCGATGGATAATGGGGGAAGATAGGAAAAAGGGTCATTAAGAAACATGTATAAAGGACACATGGACAAAGCCAAAAAGGGTAGGATTGAGGGTGGGAGGTGGGGATGGGTGGGGTGGGGGGAGTGGGGGAGGAAATGGAAGCAACTATACTTGAACAATAATAAAAAAATTAATTAATTTAAAGACAGGGAAATAGCTCTTTTTCTCCTGTCAAGGAAACCAAATGATTGGTACTAGATTTTACGTGTTTAGAGATCAAGGGAAGAGGTGTGAGGGTCAAAAAAAAATATGGGCTATGTTCAAGACTTTGTAAACCATGTTCAGAATTGTAACCTTATTATAACATTGTTAGGGCTATTAATGAAGGAACTTAATCTATTTAGAGTTACGGCCATGGTTGGCATATGGAAAATGATGGGAAGAGAGTGAGAGAGGCAGTAGGAAAGCTAGTTAGGGTTGTGTTAGTGAGGATTCTCCTGAGAAATAGAACCAATAGGAAATATATACATGTATGTATACACACACACACACATACATACAGAGATAAAGAGCGAGCAAATGATTGATTGATTACTCAGGAACTGGCTTACACAGCATGGGAGTGGGCAATTCCAGAATCCAAGGGCAGTCCAGACAGATCATTTCAGTAAGAGATGATATAACTCACACTTTTGAGTTATAAGGGAGCCTGGAGACAATGTCCTTTGTCTTTTGGGGAGGACTGCAGGGCCCCCTCTTTTGGGGGGATCGCTGTTTTCTCTTAAGGCTTTCAACTACTTGGATAAGAGCTACCCACATTGTTGAGGGTGACCTGCTTGACTCAAAGTCTACTGATTTAAGTGTTAATCACATCTAAACAGTAACCTTCACAGTAAAATCTAGATGGGTGTTTGACCAAATAGCTGGTCGTCATAGCCTAGTCAACTCGACACATAAAATTAGCTATCACATGAGTACTATTGTAAAACCAATGCATCGGGTGGTAGTTTAAAATAGAGGTGCTGACAATAAAAAATAAGAGAAGTAGGTGATAAATATTGGACTCAGAATGTACAAGACAATGTACAATGTGCATGGAGGAAAAAAATTACTCAATAGTTCAGAATTAATCAATTGATTGAATGGTGATATCTCTTGCTAAAATACAGAACATTGGAAGGGAGCAATTTTGGTGAAAGGAAATGATCAATTTATATACAGTTTGTGCTGGAAATTCAATAGACAAAGTTTGTCCACAACACTAAGAAGAGGGTGGGGAAAGATAAATACATATGGTAGTCAGTGATAGATGTCAGTTAGGCTTCACAGGAAACACAGTCCAGTTCTCTCAAGCTTCCTTAACACAAATGAGTCTAACCATGAACAAGTCACTTCAAGAGTTTGCTCACTCAGTCCCTGAGGAGTTCAGGAACCCTGCTCGTTGCAACATAGAAGTCATTGTTTTGACCTGACAGAACTCCCAGGTTAATCAGGGACATCTCATCCTGTTCTTGTATGGGCTTCCTTAGAACTATCCTGGAGCCAGAGATCAGGAACACAGGTCACAATTTACAGGTCCACAAAGAACATCTCAGCAGATAACTTTCCTATAAGAAAAATGTCTTCAATATTTTTACTTTCTGGTTGCACTTGGTCATTTCCACTCAGAATATACACTATAGGGAACCCATCTGCTTGGCATTGGTGAATGTAGCCCAGCCCTATCAGAAAACCAACAGACGCTAGTCAGCACATTAGAACCAAACCCACAGACCAGCTTTCCTGTGGGAAACCAGGCCTACATTGTATCTAGGCTGCTTTGAGGCTTGCTTTTGCTAAAACTCCCTCACCCTGAATTGAAACTGCAAATGTTTACTGCATACCTTTAAAGTAACTTCCTGAAGTTTGTGTTAATTCTCCCAAGGATGAAGTGTAATCAGACCAATCACTCTTGTTGCTTTGCATTTGCAACATTTTTTTCCTTTTTAACCTTGAGGAAGTAATCAATAACATCCTTTCCTTTGTTATCCGTGAAAAGTAATCACCTAAAGCAAACCTGAGCATAATGAATGAGAACCTTCTTTGATGTAATGCTACTGGAAAGCAATAAAAGCCTGTCCAGACAAGGGATGAGGTGCTCTCTCTCCCTCAGAGAGTGGCCATGCATCCATTTTTCTCCACAGGACTTCTGCAATCCATGTGAATTTGTTTGTTGCATCCACAACACCACGGACTCTGCTGGCCAGAGTCTGCATCAATACACAATTGTAAGTGTAAGCATCTCTCTCATTTCAGGATAAGCTGCTATTATAAGGAGACACGGCCTTAAAGGCTTGGAGGTATAATAACCTTAACTTATGGCAGAGAACAGCTTTTGAAAAAATAATCTTTTAAGAGGATTTTCAGCATATTAAGTATTTTTTCATTTTCATGGTTTTTGTTTCTGATTATAAGTTAATGTTATTAACAACAACTTACTATGTACCTTGAAGTTACCTTTGACATCAGAAAATTCACCCCCTACCTTCACTGAAAAGCTCCACACACAAAATAACCGCATATAGATCATTATATTTAGACAACAGACAACACAATTTCCTTTTGTTGTTTTATTTATGACATATTATTATATAAAATAATAAAAAATATCAAACTTCACTACAAAAATATCCTGCCAAGCTCTCTCTTCAGAGCCCCCTTAATGTCACTGTTCCTGAGACTATAGATAATGGGGCTCAGCATAGGGATGACCACATTGTAGAACACAGATGCCACCTTGTTCAGGTCACTTGAGAAGGAAGACTTGGGCATCACATGAACAAATGTGACAGTCCCAAAATACAGAGTGACCACTGTGAGGTGGGCAGTGCAGGTGGAGAAGGCCTTGTGGTGCCCCTCACTGGAGTTCATCTTCAGGATGGTGATGAGGATGTAGATGTAGGAGACAAGTATAACAAACACCGTGACCACAACGATGGACCCAGCAACAAATGAGGGGACAACTGCAGGGATACTGCTATCAGAACAGGAGAGTTCCACTAGAGGGGAAAATCACAGAAAAAAAAATGATTGACATGATTTGGTCCACAGAACAGTAAAACATAGAAGGAAATAGTAAAAGCAAGAATTGAGAAAACTACCCACATAAGCCACTATGAGGAACTGAACACAGACTTGTGTGGACATTTTGGTTGAATAAAGCAGTGGGTTACAGATTTGCACAAAGTGATCATATGCCACTGTAGCCAGAAGGAAGCACTCGACTGTCCCAAAGACAGCAGTTGAACCAAGCTGCATGCCACATCCATGATAGGAGATTGGATTTCTCTGCACCAGGAAGTTTACAAGCATATTGGGTGTGACAGAAGTTGAAAAGCACATGTCAGCAAAAGCCAGGTGGCTCAGAAAAAAATACATAGGATGATGGAGCTGAGAAGAGATTCTGATAAGAAGGATTGTGCTGAGATTGCCAGATATGGTCACCAGGTAGATACACAGGATGATCACAAAGAGGATGACTCAAAGGACTGGGTCATCAGTTAAGCCCAGTAAAATGAAGTCTGCCAGTCCAGTGTGGTTCCCAGGCCCCATGGAATCCATGAAATAATGCTGCTGCTACCGTAATGAGCCCATGATGAAACATTACATTAAAGAAATTATAAATTTGGTGGCTTCATTTTCTTTAATACACACAGAGCTTATTGTAAACAAATTATTCTAGCTAAGTTTGGAACTTCTTTTTGCTTTAGAGCCCATAGTGTATATTTATGTATAATGAGTCTATATATTTTAACAATTGTTTTTAGCCCAAACACTAGAGAACCTGCTTCAAATAATGTAGATCTTTCCTCCTTATAGTATCTATTTATAAAATGTACTGAGAGTGGCTTTTAATCTAGACATAAGACATGAGAATAGCAAAAAGGAATGTTCAGTATAACCAAAAAATAAATATGTATAAGTATACGATCATGTAATTGAGACTTTAGAACTAACATTTATGGAAAGCTGACTAATGGTAGGTATAGAGTTCAGAATTTTACATGTATAGTTCTATGTTAACTTTCATGAAGTAACATTAAAAACTTCTATTTTGTTTATAGATGAAGAAACTTATTTTAACAATGTTAAGTATTTACCTAATTTACATGTCGAGTGGTGAATCTAGTTGTGAATAGCAGACAATTTGAAGCTAGTATATTTCTTTAGTAATATGCTATAAAAGAAATTTATCTTTTCTACTCTTTGGCAGCTAACGTGTCAAAGGGATGCCTAGTTAATTGCAAAGTTTACAATTTCTCTTGGTAAAACAAGACCATTTTCAAATGAAAATTAGAAAATTTTTATAGGACCAAGAAGAAATAGAAAGGACTTTCAAGTTAGGTTTATGAATAAAGTACTATATATTTATTATGTATATTTAATATTTACAATTAAAATACTGTTTTATCAAGTAGTTTGAAATATCAATCTAAATTACTACACAAAACATTTGCTTACCATTTAGGACGTAATTAAAATATATTTACTCAAACAAATTGAATCATTTTTTAATATAATGATGCTTTATAATTGGAGTATTATAGAATGAAATAATTTTAGTTTCAACATAATATACAGCTGAATAAAGTTACACCTAAAATGTTTAGAAGTTACCCAGGTTCACCCAGCTCACAGCCAGGTTGACCCTCATCTCCAGATTTTCTGGCTGTATATTCTTGACTTGGTAAAAGTATCTGGTTGCCTCTAAGCTAAAACATTCAAAACAATGAATAAAGGAAGATTTCCCACAGAATATTTACAAACAATAAGTCTCTAAAGCATCTCAAAACTGGTAAATTTATTAGCATTAAGGCTGACTGCCAAGTTTACATAGTGTGAAAGGCCCTGTTATTTTCTGGTCCCATGGCTGGATTAATGAGGAATCCTGCTCCCTTGAATCCTGCCTCTTTAGACACACTACGGAGATTGAGAATTTAGATTGTCAGCTAAGATTACTTGCTTGCTGACTGCTGGACTACATCTATCTGCCCAGTTTCTGCACCATGACTTGTGAGTACAGCTTTAGAGTATAAAGTGTTTGCAAAAGGGAAATGGAAATCATCATATCAGATTATTCACAAAAGCCAAATTTTTACCTCTTGATATAGAAATTCATTCATCTTCCAGCAATAAATTCAAAATCATTGTTGTTATATACTACCATGTTTCTATTACTGTTTGCCTTTGGGGATAAATCTCTGAAGATTGTAGAGACTCAAATGCGAATTCCAAAGCACCAGGGATCATTGTCACATTCTCAAGTGAGTACTGACAGTCCAGTTTCACATGAACACAACTAATCTTTAAGAGGTCTGTTAATTTTGAACTTGTCAATTTTTAAAAAATATATTTTATTGATTATGCTATTACATTTGTCCCATTTTCCCCCACTTTATTCCTGTCTGCCCTGCCCACCCCCTCCCACCTGTATTCCCCCCTTTAATTCATGTTTGTAGGTAATATATATAAGTTCTTTGGCCCCTATACTATTCTTAACCTCCCTCTGTCTATCTTCTACCTACTATTTATGCTACTTATTCTCTGTACCTTTTCCCCATCTCTCCCCACCCTACTCCCCTACTGATAACCCTCCATGTGATCTCCATTTCTGTGATTTTGTTCCTGTTCTAGTTGTTTGCTTAGTTTGTTTTTGTTTTAGTTTTAGGTTTGGTTGTTAATAACTGTGAGTTTGTTGGCATTTTACTGTTTATATTCTTTATCTTCCTTTTCTTAGATAAGTCCCTTTAACATTTCATATAATAAGGGCTTGGTGATGCTGAACTCCTTTAACTTGACCTTATCTGAGAAGCATTTTATCTGCCCTTCCATTGTAAATGAGAACTTTGCTGGGTAGAGAAATCTTGGATGTAGGTCCTTGCCTTTCATGACTTCTGATAAAGTTCAAACTTTATGACTTGGAACACTTCTTTCCAGGCCTTTCTTTCCAGCAAGGTTTCTTTTGAGAAATCATCTACAGTCTTATGGAGACTCCTTTGTAGGTAACTGTCTCCTTTTTTCTTGCTGCTTTTAAGATTCTCTCCTTATCTTTTATCTTGGCTAATGCAATTATGATGTGCCTTGGTGTGTTTCTTCTTGGGTCCAACTTCTTTGGGACTCTCTGAGCTTCCTGGATTCCTGGAAGTCAATTTCCTTTGCCAGATTGGTGAAGTTCTCCTTCATTACTTGTTGAAATAAGTTTTCAATTTCTTGCTCTTCCTCTTCCCCCTCTGGTACCCCCATGATTTGGATGTTGAAACGTTTAAAGATGTCCTGGAGGTTCCTAAGTCTCTCTTCATTTTTCTGAATTCTTATTTCTTCATTCCATTCTGGAGGAATGTTTCTTTCTTCCTTCTGGGCCACACTATTGATTTAAGTGCCAGTTACCCTCCTGTCACTCTTGGTTCCCTTTACATTTTTTAAATTTCATTTAGCATAGCCTTCATTTTTTCATCTAATTTGTGGCTATATTCAACCAATTCTGTGAGCATCCTGATAACCAGTGTTTTGAACTGTGCATCTGATAGGTTGGCTATTTCTTCATCACTTAATTCTATTTTTTCTGTAGCTTTGGTCTGTTCTTTCATTTGGGCCTTTTTTTTTTTTGTCTTTGCATGTCTTTTAAGTAGTAAGGGACCAAGCCTTAGCTGTTCATGGTGCGGGTCAACTCACACACTGTATTGTGGCACTGTATGTGGAGCAGTCTGAGAGAGAACAATGCCACTTGCTCCACTCTCTGCTGGTTTTCAGTCACTTCCCCCATTACCCGCAATCAAATTGGGCCCTTCTGGTGCTGATTCCCAGGTGGGTAGTTTTGTGTACATTCTAGGACCCTGTTGGTCTCTCCAATGAACTCTCCTGCGAGGCTGGGAGTTTCTCCCACTGTCACCTCAACCCCCATAAGTGTTTTCAATAAGAGGTTTGAGGTATTATTTCCCCATGCTGGAACTCTGGGTTGTGTGGTTTGTCTCACTCCCCAGTTGTTCCTCCTGGTTTATCTGCACATGAATGTGGGACCACCCAGTGTGCCAGCTGCCACCTTGCCCATCCACCACAGCCTTGCCCACCCCAATCCTTCAGCTGCCATCTAGCCAGGAGTCTTCTCTGCCCAGATGCCTGACTCTGCCCCTCCTACCAGTCTGGATGAATGTTTCTTCTTTAACTCATTGGTCATCGGACGTCCATACAGTTCAATTTTCTGTCAGTTTTGGTTGTTTTTTGTTTTTAAATTTGTTGTTGTCCCTGTTTTGATTGTGTGAGGAGGCACAGTGTGTCTACCTATGCCTCCATCTTGGCCAGAAGTCCTCTGAACTTGTCAATTTTTAATATCTAGATTTTGGTGCACTTCTAGTTGATAGTCATTGAGGGTATAAATGGTAAATTATTTCATAGCTAAATACTGTTTCTAAGTGTACTTTTCTATTTCAGGTTAAGTAATAATAAACTTCCACTATAAAATGGTAACCTTAGCTTTATTCCCTCAATGTATGGGTATTTTATGTGTTTTGTCATGATATGTGTAAGACACTCCTTCAGGTGCCTCAGGGATCCTTGAAGTGGAATGCCACGTAATGTTGAAATTTAAATAACACAGTTATTTAAAATATAAAACATGTATACATTTCCTAGCAATAAATAAATAAATAAATAAATAAATAAATAAATAAATAAATAAAAAGTTGTAGATATAGAAAATGAAGTAAAAAGAGGTCTGAATGACTTTCAGGTCAGAGTTAATCCACATGTCTCAAAGGGATGACTACGGATGACTAGTGGCTTACTGGAGTAAATGGATGATGGTAGAAACAGCTGTCTCCAGCCTGAAGACTCAGCTAATTCTCTTGCTAACCTTTATTTTAGAAAGTTCTGTCTCACCCTGCTGATACACCCACCACTCAATGGAAATTCTACTAAAATACTAACCAACTTTCCTTCAGGATTTACTCTTTGCCAAGCACTTGCTTAACACTTTATATACACTCTCTCATGTAATCCTCACAATAACTTGGTGAGCTAAGAATTCCCATTATCCTAATTTTACAGAGTAACCTGAGTCTTAGTTCAAGATATTTCTAACATATATTCAAGTGGTATAATTCAATCCAAGTTTTAAATTCAAGTTCTCTTAACCTCTACTGTCATCAAATTCTCTTAAATTCTACTGTCGACTTCAAGACCTAACCTTCTCAGTTGTGACCGCTGGTTCTCATCTAGTCCCTGACCTACAGTTTTTGCTTCCCACCCTCAACACTCTGTCTAATTTCCTAAACTGGCTAGACCTACAGCCTGGCTCTGAGCGTCAGACCAGTACTCAGGATCCTAACTTAGTCTTGTGCATTCACCCATGACCAACTCCTGTTGGTCTTATGTCCTAATTCTTGTCACATGTCCACTTCTCTTTATTTTGACACTACAAAAGCTGTTTTATTTTCCTATATGTTCATTTGGTCTTCCACAGAACCACCAGAGTGAATTATTTATAAAAATAATTTATTTATTTTTTGTTGTTGTTGCTGTTGTTTTTATTTATTTTTTATTTTAATTAATTTTAT